GTGGCGAAACATTGCATGTATGGGTCCATGATTTGGTATAGCCCCCATATAACGGTACCTCCCGATATTCGGTAATTTTATGATTTTTGCCACATTTTTTTCACTGATTTGTCTAAAATTGGTATTTGTGGGTCATAATGGGTCCTAGTTCGTGTGGCGAAACATTGTAATTATAGGTCCACGTTTTGGTGTGGCCCCCATATAACGGTACCTCCCGATATTCGGCATTTTAATGATTTTTGCCACATTTGTTCTAATGTTTCTTTTACCCTAAGGTGGAGGGTATTAAAAGTTAGGCCCGACCGAACTTAATGTTTTTTTACTTGTTTATTATTTAGTTTTTAAGTTTTTCATAGCCCTGTTTTATAATTCTATTTTTCGGGGGCAGAATTAAAGTTTTAGCCATAAGACATTATGTAGCCTATTGTGTCCAGAAATATGTTATGGCCCTCTTTGTTAAGATAAAGTAGGGGTTGAACAAATGCATGTTTATTTATAGGACAGATAGGTTTAAGTAATTTAGCCTATGTTAGTAATACGATTTGAATTAATAAAACGGCCACAGGCTAAAACTATGCATTTATCTCACTTAGACTCAGTGGAAGTTTTTGAGGTTAAAATAAAAACATTTAAAAAAATTGCAATAAAATAATATTTCAATTAGATTTAATTAAAAATTTAATTATGTGGTGCTTCAGCTGCAACTCTGTTGCAATCAAACAATCTATAATTTTATATTAATTGATGAAAATTGTGGAAAATTCGCGAAAAAAAAAACAGTTTTTAATAACAATGGCAAAAACATTGTTTAAATTATTATTATTGCACAAAGAAAGTATAGACTTCCCACCACTTCTGGATATTAATCATCGTCGTCATAATCATCATCACAATGATTATTTATTTCTATTATTTTATTTTTTTCCAACAAATGCATTGTTAAAATTGGGGTGCGTGCTAACAGTCAATTATAAATTGAAAAAAAAATGTGGTTGGTAGTAGGTATATACTTATAAAACTACAATAATTAATGCATGCAATTAATAAATTAGTATTTTTATCAACGCTCATTTATCTTTGAATCGAAACACCACAACATCAAATATATATTTTTACAATGGCATTCTCCATTGATGGCAGATGCTGTAATTCGCTAAAAATAAACAGAAAATTTAAAGAAAATAAAAATAAAAAAATCAAAACCATTCACTTCGTTTTAAAAAAGTATGTATAATTAACTAATAAAAACAATACATTACAATTTACATACGTTTGTTTGTGTGTAAGTCGGTTGGGAATGGAACGGGACAAAGTGTTGATGAATTGCATTAGTTAATTACGTTGTTAAATGCAAATTACAAGAAAATATTAAATGTCTTAATTGAAATATATATATTTTTTTTCAAAACACTGATCATAAAGGAGTGTTTTTGTTGTAAGAAATATTAAATAAAATCAATAATCAAGGGCAATAGAGACTTTAAAATGTCATAAATCAGTAGATTATGAAAGTAGACCCAAATATAGACAAGTAAGAAAGCAGCTAAGCTCGACCGGGCCGAAATTTTTATACCCTTCACCATTTGAAAGACATTTGAAAAATTTCAACAAAAAAAAATCCGTCGGAAAATACCGTTTAAATGAAGACCGTTATGTGGTTTACACTTATTCCAAATTTCAGATCTATCAAATCTAGTACCATTTAGCCCTATTCGGATTTGTATGTCACCACAACCACCTTTAAATGTCAAACACAAATTGTAACAACCTTAGTACCATTTAGTACAAAATTTCCAAAACCACCTCTCCATATCAACCCTACTTCCTAAATTTGGTTTTCAAAACAAAATTTTTACCCTTTCTTTCTTCCCATGTCTCAATTTAGTGCATTTTAGTGCTTTTGCTACACTTATTGTTCGAATTTCCATGAAACCTTTCATCAATTCTACACAATATCTAAGGCACTCATTCCAGCTCCATACCCTTTCTTAAATATCAAATTTCATTCCATTTAGTACTTTTCGTACTTTATGATACGTTTTTCAAAATTCACCATCATATAGCAATTCCACCTTTCAAAAAATGATCTATCCCATCCACATATCACAAATTTAGTAACATTTAGTACTATTCGAATTTTTAAGTACACATTTCCAAAACCACCTTCAAATCTCAACCCTACACACTAATAGTGACTGTAATATGAACATTTCAAAATTCCAGCTCCATCCGTCCACACCAATTGTATCAACATTTAGTACCATTAAGTACAGTTTTAAGACTTAGTACACGATTTCAAAACCACCTCCTTATATCAACCCTACTTCCTAAACTTTGTTTTCATATCGTACCTTTATTATTCGATCCTATTTCAAAATTTCTGATTTCTAGCTCTATCTCTTCCCCAAATACCAAATTTTATATCATTTCATACTTTTCAAAATCCTCCTCCATATATCAACCCCTCCCACAAAGAGTGATCAAATTTCCAAATGCCAAATTTCAGATTTCCAGCTCTATCCTATCCTCATATAGCAAATTTAGTACAATTTAATACTTTTTGAACTTTGCAGTGCATATTTCCAACACCACCTTCTAATGGCAACTCCAATATCAATATTTCAGTACTTGCGCCACGCTTATTGTTAGAACTTCCATAAAACCATTGATTCATCAATTCTGAGCAACATCAAAGATCATATTTCCAAATTTCTGATTTCGAGCTCTATCTCTTCCCAAAATACCAATTTTTATACCATTTTGTACTTCTTGATACGTTTTTCAAATTCCACCTTCACATATCAACCCCAGCTCACAAAAAGTGACCCTAATACCAAATTTCAGATTTCCAGCCCTATCCCACCGTCATATACTAAATTTTATACCATTTTGCATTTTCGTACATGTTGGTACGTTTTTTATGAATTAATAATAAGTGATTCTAGGCCTAAGCTTAGTAAAAACTCTCTGATCTTTTTGAATTTTTTTAGAGGTAGATTTTTTTACCCCGGTTCCTTGTCCGAGTTCAAAGAGCTATAGCTTTGGATCCAAGAAAGATAATAACAAATATTGTAGCATTTTGAAAATGTTGTAGTGTCAACATTTTGTAGACTTCCAGTATGAGGCCTTTTTCGAGTTTTGGGGGATTTAAAAAAAAACCGGTCCAAAAAATCAATAATTTTGATACAAATCCAGAATCGCTTTAAATAACTCCATCATCAGTGCCACTTGTTGGATAGGTATTTGCATTAATTTTGAAATGATTTAGTTGGTCCGGGTCTAATCCGGGTCTTGGACCCGGAATTTCGGTTTAAATATTAAGTCTATCTCTGGAAAAAATTTACAAAAAATACGAGAGTTTTACTGAATTAAAATAAATTAAAATATATATTTTATTTTTTTTTTAAATAAAATAAATATTTTTTAATAATATTTTAATTATAAATAAAATAAATATATCGTTTTATTTAAATAAAATAAATATTATTTATTTTTGTGTTTTAATTTATTAATTAAATAATTGATGTATGCCTCATTAGTTAGTTATTAATTTATTTATACGTTTTTTGTTTGTTATATTTTATTATATTTATTTTTTATACCCTACACCACAAGGTGGTCAGGGTATTATGTCTTTGTGCATTTGTTTGTAACAGGCAAAAGGAAATGAGATAGACCGATAGTTCCTTTTAATGATCTGCATAGAATCACATTCTGAGTTGATTTATGCGTGTCCGTCCGTCTGTCCATGTATTTTTTAGTGAACAAAGTACAGTTCGCATTTATTACCCGATCCAGATGACATTTTGCACAAATCATTTGTTTGGCCCAAGGACGAAACCTATTGAAATTGGAGATAATCGGTAAAAAATTAGATGTAGCTCCCATATATATCTTCGTCCGATTTGCCTTTTATTGTGCACCAAACGTGTAATATCAACCCGAATAGTATGAAATTTTGCAAATACAACCAAATTAGGCCTCAAAATAAGTAAACCAAATTTGATCGAAATCGGTTCAGATATAGCTATAGCTCCAATATATATTGTTCGTCCGATTTGTTATTTTAGTCCTCCGCAGCCGTAATATGCACTCTGTAACAACAATATTTGGGCAAATATATCAAATACAGCTCAGAAATACCTTTGCTAAATTTTATCGAGATCGGTTCGGATTTGGATATATCTCCCATATATAACTTCGTCCGATTTACCTGTTATTGTGCACCAAACGTCTGATATTTTCCCAAATGGGATGAAATGTGGCAATTACGATCGAATTGAGTCTAAAAGCTGGTATGCCAATTTTGGTGAAGATCGGTTCAGATATAGTTATAGCTCCCATATATATTGTTCATCCGATTTGTTATATTTGTTACCCACAGCCGTAATATGCACCCCGTAACAACGATATTCAGGGAAATATATCGAATACAGCTCAGAAATATCTTTGCAAATATTATCAAGATCGGTTCAGATTTGGATATAGCTCCCATATATATCAAACGGGCAATACAAGTCCGAGTTTAAAAGATACAAATGCTTCGGCATATTTAGTCTTCTGGACTTTAAATTATAATTATAATCATAGTGTATGATTGAATTCTCCCATAAAAACTTTTAATTGTTATCTGGAGCTCTACTAAATTAGCAAAGTGGTGTAGGGTATCATAAAGTCGGCCCCGCCCGACTTTAGGACTTTCTGTACTTTTTTTGTTTTATATTTTTATCTGCTATTGTTGTTTTGTTTATCTTTTTTTAATATATATTTTTATTTGTTTTTAAAACTATTTTGAAAAGTCGTAACCCAAAGCCTAGCCAAAAAAGATTTCCCCACAAAGAAGTCTTGGCCATATTTGCATTAAATGTTTTCTGTTTTCAGTTTTTTTTTACTTCAAACATTAAAATTCCAACACATTTTTCATACATTTTTTCGATTTATGAGCCACAACTACGGTACGAATATTCATGAAACTGTTTTTGTTGTTTTTCATTTTCCAGATACCAATGTTGCAACCAGATCTCAACCAACAACAAGTGAAAATAAGTCTACAACAAGACTTGAATTATTGTCGAAAACAGAAACAGCCACAGCTGAGTGGAGCTGAGCAGAAACAACAACAACACCATCACCACCACCATCAACAGCAGAAGCATCAGCCCAAACAGCAGCCAGATTTTGAAACCGGCATTTCAGGCAGCGGCGACGTTAGCGGTTGTGGTTTGAAAGACAATTACCATAAATGTGGCCTTAAAATAAACGAGAAAATTCTGCATAATTACAACAATTACGAATTGAGATAAAACAACAACTACAACAAAAATAAAAAAGAAAAATTAAAACGGACAGAAAATATTGAAAATAGCAAATGATAAAAGACGAAGAGTGTGAAAAACTTGCTACGAATCAAAAGGAAAGAGTACAAAATATTTTTTACTTGGAAAGCGAGAAAAATAGAAAATTCGAACAGACTGACTGACTGACAGATCGACAGGCAGAAAACCAGGCCCATGAGTGTTAAATTGAAAATTTTCGAAGCCCAAATTTTAAAGAGAAACTCAAGTTAATCGAAATAAAAAAAAACAGAAGAAAAACCAAAAACGAAAAACAGAAACATTCAAACTGCTACACCACGGTGCTTATCACGGTGCATTTGCTGATGATGTCTAGAGAGCCGTTAAGCCAAGAAACCGCCAAACCAAGCCAACATCAAAAACAGCAACAACACCAACAACATCAACTTCAAAAATTGCAACCACAAACGGAAAAACACAAAGAGCCTTCTTGTTGTTGTAAATGTGGAAATCAAGCGAATAGTGGAAGACGGAGAAGTCGTGCTGGTGTAGGTGGTGATGCATTGGGAGGAGTAGGCCCCAATAGTTGGAGTAGCGGTGCTGCATCATCGTCATCCCCACTGCCAACCACAACCACTTCATCATGGTGTTATCGTCAGGCTAGTGGCTTGCTCAGTGGCATTTGTTGGTGGCTGGTTTTGGTGGTATTTATGCTGATATTGTGTGGCAATTCGGCGGTTTCACAGCAGCTACAACAACAACAGCAAACTTCTTATAATCTCAACAACAATGGCAATCAAAACAATAGTTCCACCGACAGCAACAACAACAGTGCCAACATATCATGGCAAATTGCCACACCAAATAATGACAATGCAGCAGTGGTGCAGCCACAGCCGCTGACTTTAGAAGTAGGCGAGGGAAAACAACAGCCACCAGCCGATGTTGTCTTGCCCTTAAGACAGGCAAGATTTTTTAAATTCACCACTACCACCACCACCCCCTCATCGGCATTAAATGGCAAGTCGCTTAACGTGACAACAATTGCAAATGGCGAAAGTGGTGGTAAAAATCGCAGCACTACTTCAAAATCTGTTACCGAGTCGTTGGATCTTAAAGATGACAGTAACGACAACAACAACGATGACAACGAAGATTTGGATACCAATGACGATGATGATGATGATTTAGGCAATTCATCTGAATTATTAAATGAATCAGAAGGTGAGTGTTTGTTTGTTGTGTTTTTTTTTTTCTATTTTTGTTTTTGAAGACAATTTCTAAACATCTGTTCGTCTATTTTTTTGTGGAGAAAATAATCTCCAAAAAAATTTGGAATTTTTGACGATAATTAAATGTATGCCTGTTATTTTTAAAATATGACATCTCCTGGCGGATGAGCAATTATTATTGGCATTAATAAATATTACATCATGTTGTTATTGTTAGGAATTTTTAAATACCAAATATTAGGGTAGAATTAATTTTAGATTTTGAAAAATTATGAAATGGTTTCAAATAAAGAATTAAAAGAATAGAGGTGATTTAGATAACAGTTACAATAATAACTGTATATTGAATATTTTTATATCCTTCACCATATAGTAGTTTGGGTATAACGTCTTTGCACATTTGTTTGTAACATAGAGAAGGAAACGATATAGACCCATAGTTTATTTTAAGTATCCGCATAGAATCACTTTCTGAGTCGATTTACATTGGTGGCCAAAACTAAAGCAACTGAAATCACAAGGAGAATGAATGCCCTGTTACTTTTTCAAAAATTAAGAAAATGATAAAGTTTTTCTTGTTTTAAATTAGGTACTTTATTCACTTTTTAAAAACCTAAAACACAAAACCAAAATTCATTTTTATATAAAAAATAATGTTTGGTAAAGTCAATTAACCCGATTTTGGCTTGGACAAAACAAAAGCAACTCTGTTGTACATTCATATAACCGCTGCAATTTCAGTTGTTTTTACTGTGATATTTATCGCTTTTTGCTTCCTTCGACAATTTCGCTTGTCATAAATCCTTTTTGAGAAGCTTTTTACAACAGTATGTGTTTTTCTTTTCGTTTTTTAAGCACTGCCCAAAAAATTTTAAAAATGGCTAAAAGCAAATACAGTACCTGAATAAAACAGCAAATTATCAGTGACTATCAAAACAACATATTACAGAAAATGATTTCCGAGAAATATTTCATAAATATTTATGTGATTTCATAATTATTTCTGTATACTAAGTCGATTTTATGAAACTGGATCAGTAGTAACAGTCTATTACGGATGAAGGCCGTGAAAAACTTCAGCCCGTACTGATCCACAAATTGTGAGAGAAATAAAAAACAATTATTTAAGAGTTCAACTGGATTGGTGAGAGAGCAATCATTGGATATAAGCTCGAGATCAGTGCGTAGACGAGTAGTGGCAGCTGGTCTGCATGCCCGTAAGACATCAAAAAACCATTTATATCTAAAAAAATCAAAAAGGCTTCCGGAAACGATAATATTAAGTGGAATCAAGCTCAATGGAAAAAACATTATTTCTGGGATGAGTCTACGTTTAATATTAAAGGCTCAGAAGTGAAAAATTTTATGGTGAGAAGACCAAAAATGAAGGACTCAAGCCGCAGTGTTGCAAAGGTACAGTGAAGCATGAGGGAGGGTCAAAAATGGCGTTGCGCTGTTTTTCTTTCTATGGACTTGGGCCTATCCATAAAATAAAGGAAGTTGTGGATCGGTTTGTTTACAAAGATGTGTTGGACATCACGTTGTTCCCTTACACTGAGTAAAATATTCGGCTGTTTTGGGTGTTTCAGCATGACAAGGATCCCAAACTTGTATCAAAACTTGTCAAATATTGGTTGCGGAAGTCAAAAATTCATGTTTTGTTATGGCCGGCACAATCACCTGAGCTAAACTCCTTAGAAAACCTTTGGAGTATCGTAGATAGGAAGATCAAGAGAGATTCGGAAATAAATAAGCACAACATTTTCTAAAGAATTCAGGGTGCCTGGGAAAGCACACCCAAGGATCAAATTGAGCGTGTTATAGATTCAATGCCTCGTAGGTGTGCAGCTGCTATCGAAAATAATGGTTATGCTATCGACTACCAGCCAAAATTTAATTATTTTAAAATAAAAAATCAAAAGTTGCTTTAGTTTTGACCAAGCAAAAATTGGGTCATTTTAGTTTTCCACACATTATTTTTCGTTCAAAATTATTTTTGTATTTTTATTTTTAGTTTCTTAAAAGTGAATTAAGCCCCTCATTTAAAACTGGAAAAATAATTACGATTTGTTTATTCTTGTAGAAGTTACAGGACATTTATTGTCTTTGCGATTTAAGTTGCTTTAGTTTTGGCCACCAGTGTATGCATGTCAGTCCGTCCCTGCGTCCGTTTGTCCATATATTGTTGTGAACAAAATGCAGGTCGCATTTATTATTCGCTTGAGATGAAATTTTCCAAACAACACTTGTTCCAAATTTAGATATAGCTCCCATATATATCTTCAACCGATTTCGTATTAACTGTGGACCAAATGACCCATATCAGTTCAAATGAATTGAATATTGGCACATCCGACCGCATTTAGTCTAGAAGCAAGCACATCAAATGCGGTATAACTGTAGCCGCATGTAGCCATATATACAGGGTGAGAAGAAAAAACTGCAACCAACTACTGACTGCTGTCATTTCAAAGCCTCTCGTCCGACAGCTGTTAAAATTAATCCAGTGACAGTTCATTATATTGTTTGCAAGCATACCAACACATTTTGGTGAGAATTTTCCAGAAAAAAATTTATTCGTGATGGAATTCAAGCGTGATAGTGTGATTTCTTAATATTTGGCTGGAAGGCTGCAAGTGGCTATCGTTAGAGCACTCCAGCATTTAAATGTGAAAAAATCTGTTGTGTCTCGTACCATCACTCGTTACCGAGATACTGGTTGCGTAGCCCGACGTAAAGGAAGTGGGCCGAAGAAAATCAGCAACATCAGCATGGTTCGAAAAGTAAAGAAGCGACTTGATCGAAACCCGCGTCTCAGTGGCCGAAAAAAGCTCGTTAACTGAACATATTGTAATATTCCATTCGCCAAATATTGAAAAATGAGCTTATCCTGAGCTCCCATTGAAATTCCAAAAAGTGCAAGAACTTACACCGCAACAGAAGGAAGTGGACGGAAGAAGACAGCAACATCAGTAGAAATGGTTCGAAATGTAAAGAAGCGAAACTCCCGTCGCAGTGGTCGAAAATGGTACGTGAGCAGAACATATCGCAATATTACATTCGGAAAATATTGAAAAATGAGCTCGGTGTAAAGCCATTGAAATTCCAAAAACTGCTAGAACTTTCACCGCCACAGAAACAAAAATAGACTCAAAAGAGCTAACGAGTAGCTTCGGTTGGCCGAAAGGGGTGAACTGCCGAATTTCGTTTTCTCCGATGAGGAAACATTCATTTTCCAGCAGTTTGTAAACAAACAAAATAATCGTGTGTACGCCAAAGAGGTCAGCTGAAAATGTGCACCTTCGGTTGACCACCATAAACTCAAGGGCCGGCTATAGTGATGGTGTGGGCTGCCATAACAGCCGATGGTCGCTCTCCACTGGTATTAATCGACTGTGGCATCAGAATAAATGCCGAATATTATCTCGAAAATATTCTGGAGGGTGTATTAAAGCCTTGGGCACGCAAACAGTACGTGCCACCCAAGAATGGTTACAAAATGGAGTTCCTCGCTTCATTTCCAGCGCACAATGGCCACCAAAATCTCCGGATACCAATCCGTTGGTCTATTGTGTCTGGAGTATTGTGGGAAGCAAGGTTGGCACTAAAAAATACCAAAGTGTCGATCATTTCAAGCAAGCGCTTTGCCGCGAATGGGCCAAAATACCGCAGAGCATTATTTGGGCAGCGTGTGACGATTTCATTGGCCGTTTGAAGGCCATAATTCATGTCAAAGGTGACCAATTCGAACAAATCTAAACTTATTCTAAAATGTGATGCTATTTCCGACATTTTTGATTTCATTCAATAACAGGTCGTATTTATTGTCCGGTTAAGATAACCCTATTTAGATTCGTTATAATCGGTCAAAATTTAGATATAGCTGTCATATATATCTTCGTCCGAATTCCACTTTATTGTGCGCCATCTGTCTAATATTCGTTCAAGTGAAAGGGCAAATCCGACTTAATTCAGCCTAAAAGCAAGTGTTTCAAATTTGATGAAAATCGGATCAGATATAGCAATAGTTCCCATACATTTATTTCAACCGATTTTGGTGGAATTGTTTTAAAATTGGCTAAAATCATGAAAAGTTTGAAGAAGTATTGAGATATGCGAAGTTGAAAAACAATCGGATGCTCATTTCGCATTTTTATGAGAGTTTGGGTTACATTGAATGTTGACCCTTTTGTGGGGGAGGTACAGAAAGGAGAGATCTGTCCTATCATCTTCACACCAAACCTTGTGTTAAAAGAAATGTTGGGCTGTGGGAAATTTGAGGACAATTTTAAATTTTTGAAAGTTATGATTATTCACAATATTAGCACCTAATATATTCGTTCCTAACACTGATACAAATATTATGATTTACCAAGTTTGAGCTTAATCAGATGAACCTCTCTCTTAATATGATTAATATTAATATGATCGGTTCAGATATAGCTATAGCTCCCATATATAATGTTTATCCGATTTGTTACTTTTGTCCTCCGCAGTCGTAATATGCACTCTGTAAGAACAATATTTGGGGAAATATATCAAATACAGCTCAGAAATACATTTGGTAAATTTTATCGAGATCAGTTCCGATTTGGATATAGCTCCCATATATAAATTCGTCCGATTTGCTTTTTATTGTACATCAAACGTCTAATATTTGCCCAAATGGGATGGAATTTGGCACTTACGACCGAATTGAATCTAAAAGCTAGTATGTCAAATTTGGTGAAGATTGGTTCGGATATAGCTGTAGCTCCCATATATACTGTTCATCCTAGTTGTGATATGTTTGTTACCCACAGCAGTAATATGCACTCCGTAACATCGATATTCAGGGAAATATATCAAATACAGCTTAGAAATATCTTTGCCAAATTTTATCGAGATTGGTTCCGATTTGGATATAGCTCCCATATATATTTTTATCCGATTTAATTGTGCACCAAATGGGCAATACAAGTCCGAATTTAAAAGATACAATTGCTTCGGCAT